CCCCCCCGGCCCTTATAAATCATGCATGGGTGGCAGGTGGGGCAGGAGAATGCAGTGGGGGGGGGTGGGGAGGGGAAGATTGCAGGAGATAGCTCGCCATCCATGCCAGCAGGAGAAATGTACTACTCAAGATCACTACTGCCTTCCCAAAGAAAGCCAGTGCACTTCTGGATTAGTACCTGTGGGCTTACATGGGTGTAAATTTGAGTGATTATACTGCTTTTCTTTCATAAGTTTTTGTAATTAGGAAACAGTATCCTTTTAAGAATTATTTTATTACCCTGAAAAAATTCTTGGTTTCTTAGCAAACGAATGTATCCACTGTCATCTCTAGTTTTCTCTGACCTAAGGTTTAATTATTACTGGATCCTGGATTTCAATGGAAATGGACTCAGGACCTGAAGGAGCTGCAGTAGTTTACGCTATAAAAGTATAATTTTCCACTTGTGGCCAGAGTGACATAGACATAAATCCTCTATCACAGCCAGCATAAAATGCCACAAGAAATCTTCCTGTAGATTTCAGTCCTATCAGGGAAGCGTAATGAGATTTTTTTTTCTCTGCATGTGGGAAAGTCTGAATATTATTTTAGAAAGAAAACCTTTTCCATAAGATTACAGACTTACTAGCAGGCTTGGACTGCTCTCATAATTGGTAATGAGACATCGAACCTTTCACTTCTTCTTTACTACAGCCAAGGTCAGTAGTGACTGAAAGTCATTATCTTTGGATGTCTGCAGTAGTTTATTTTACAGGAGGTGGTAGTCTCAGCACAGTTTCTCCCAGACAGATGTCCGCATGATAAAAACCGCCATGAGAATACACCCATTAATAGCCTCAGAGAAGAGCAAAGGGCAAAATGATCTTTCACCACTGACTTTGTTTTTTAAAATCTACTAAGTCTGTCCCAAATTAGAAACTCATAGAAGCTCTACAAATGTGTTAGAGTGTATAAATTGAATCATGCTTTATCAGACTCAAACCATCTGGAGTGATGCTATAATAAAAACTGAGGGCAGAACCTTTACTGGGAGAAGTGGCAAATGACAGGGATTGGGTAACATGACAAAATTTGCTTTGATCTGAGCATTTTATAAGATTGACAAAAACGAAGTACTTCTTGTGACGTGAGAAAAATTAAAAATAAGAATTCAATGTAATCATGCAGGTTGTGTGAGTACGGTGGGGTGGAACAAAGTAACAAGCCTGGTCTTTGTTCATAGAAAGGGGCTATTTGTTGCTCGATAGACTGGCTCTATGGACATGGGGAAGGCAATGGACATGATATACCTTGACTTTAGCAAAGCTTTTGATATGGTCTCCCACAGTATTCTTGCCAGCAAGTTAAAGTAGTATGGATTGGATAAACAGACTATAAGGTGGATAGAAAGCTGGCTAGCTTGTCAGGCTCAGCGGATAGCGATCATCAGGTTGATGTCTGGTTGGCGGTCATGTGCTAAGGATCGGCTCTGGGGCCATTTTTGTTCAATATCTTTATTGATGAATGAGGGGATGGATTGCACCCATTTGCAAGTTCAAGGATGACACTAAGCTAGGGGGAAGAGGTAGAAACACTCTGGAGAGTAGAGACAGAGTCCAGAGTGACCTGGACAAATTGGAGGATTGGGTCAAAAGAAATCTGATGAGGTTCAACAAGAACAAGTGCAGGGTCCTGCACTTGGGACAGAAGAAACCCATGCATTGCTGCAGGTTGAGGACCAACTGGCTAAGCAGCAGTTTGGCAGAAAAGGACATGGGGATTACAGTGGATGAGAAGCTGGATAGGAGTCAACAGTGTGCCCTTGTAGCCAAGAAGGCGAATGGAATATTAGGTTGCATTAGGAGGAACATTGCTAGAAGATCCAGAGATCTGTCTCTGTCTCTACTCTCCAGAGAAGTGATTATTCTCCTTTATCTGGCACTGGTGAGGCCACATCTGGAATAGTGTGTCCAATTCTGGGCCCCTCATTACAGAAGGAGAAAGTCCAGTGGAGGGCAACCAAAATGATTAGGGAGCTGGAGCACATGACTTATGAGGACAGGATGGGGGATTTGGTCTACAGAAGAGAAGAATGAAGGTGAATTTGATGGCAGCCTTCAGCTATCTTAAGGGGGGTTCAAAAAAGGATGGAGAGAGGTGGGTGGTGGTCATTTGTCATCAGTGACTGAGGTGGAAATGGACATAGGAAACAGACTTGTTGAGAGTCTCTGGGTTAGATTAAAAGGGTAAAAAACAAGGGAGATGTCATGCTAGGGGTCTACTACAGACCACCTACCCAGGCCGAAAAGGTGAATGAGGCTTTTTAAAAAAAACTAACAAAATCATCCAAAGTGCAGGATTTGGTGGTGATGGGGTCTTCAACTATCCAGACATATGTTGGGAAACTAACACAACAGGGCACAGATTATCCAATAAAGTATTGGA